CGCAAGCACTTCTCGCCCCATCAGCACCGGTGACAGCACTCGAAGGCCGCCGGGGCGCGGTGCCCGCCCCGCCCTGCCGGAACCCGCGTCCTCCCGGTACCCCGGGGGAATCGGGGCCTCTTCGGGGGCAGCTGCGCTCGCCCGGCCCCGCGGGGATCCCGACCCCACCCCAGCGGCGAACCCAGACACTGAGATGCACGCGGCCCCCGCGCTCGCCCCCCCGGGACCGGCACCGGCACCCCCGGCACCGGCACCCCTCGCCGCCGCCACCGCCCCCTCCCCGGCCCCGCCGCCTTCCCCGCACCTCTCTCTTGCGGACGATGCCGCGGGCGCGGCGGCGGCCGATGCCGCTGAGGGCGCCCTCGAGCTCGGCCACGCCGGCGCGGTTAATGTCGAGCTTGGCCCCGCCGGGGCCCGGCCCGCCCGGCCCCGACATCCCGGTACCGGCCCCGGGAGCCGCCGCCGCGCAGGCCCCGCAGCACCGCGCACGCGCAGCCGAGACCCCGCCCACCCCGCCCCTGGGCGCAGACGCACGCAGAGCGGAAACAGCGGCTTTATTGGTGGTATGCGCGGGGGGCGGGGCCAGCGCGCGGGGGGCGGGGCCAGCCCCCCTTCCCCGTCACCGCCGCTTGTACAGGCAGGGCCGCAGCCGCAGCCCCGGGGCGGGGCCCGCCCGGCACGGGCCCGTCTTGGAGAACTCCAGAACGTAGAAGTAGGAGCTAGAGAGGTCCTAGGGGCACGGGGACAGCCGGCTCCATCACCAGCATCCCATGGTCACCGGGAACCCCAGCACTCGCAGGAGCCAGCACCACCCACCACCAGCACGCCACCCCAGCGAGCCTCATGTTCCCCCTGCGTGCCCCGGGCCCTCCTCCATCCAGCCCCACAGCCCCTGTGTGCCCCCAGTGCCCCAGATGCCACCCCAGACCCTGACCCCAATATACCTCCCAACCTCTTGTACCTCCATCATCACCCCCCAAACCACAACCCTTCCGGGCCCCGGTACCCTTGACACTCTCCAGGCCCCACCACACCCAGGCCCCGCACCACAGCCATATTGAGCCCCAGGTCTCCCCGTGCCAGACACCAGCAGCCCCTTCCCTGCATACCCCGAGTGCCCTGACCCCTGGTTGCCCCTCTCCCCAACACCCCCACACTATACCCCCATGACTGCCAGGTCCCTCAAACCTCTGACCAGACCCCCCCATCTCTGTGGGCACTGGCTTCCCCCCCACACACCCATGTGATTTCACCACCCCATGGGCCTGATCCCCTTTCCCAGCAAAAGGCTGGGCCCCAACACACCTTCCCCACAGGCTTCTTCCCGGGGCTCCCCAGTGCACCCTCAGTGCCCAACACGGGCACACCCGGGGACACACCTTGGAGACTGTCCTGAAGCCCAGCTGTCCCATGGCCTTCAGGAAGGTACGGATGTTCTCGAAGCGGCTGGCCACCTCGGCCACCATCAGGGTCCCCCTGTGGTCACCCCGGTTCTTAGCGGGGCACGGGCAGTGCCTCTGCCCACCCCAACCTCCACTGCCCCCCAATCCCGGCCTACCCCAACTTGAGCACGCGGTTGGCCTCCCCCAGGATCTCCTGCAGGTTGGTGCCCATCAGCGCCAGGCAGAACACAGCCACGTCCACCGACTCGTCCGCCAGGGGCACCTGCCAACCCGGGACAGCTCAGAGGAGGAGGGTGGTAATGGGGCTGGGCAGCCCCACCGGGCTCCCCAGGCTTGTGGGTTCAGCTGAGCCCCGTCTCTGGCTGCCCGAGGCAGAGACGCACAGGACCCTCGGCGTCACTGTCCCCTCCCCGCAGCCTGCCCGGCAGCACCCGCCCCCGCCCCGGAGGTGCCCCCGTTACCTCGGCCATATCGCAGACAGTGACCCGCGGGCTCAGCTGCACCAGGTCGAAGCAGTGCACCCGATTCTTGACGCTGGAGGCCAGCGTGCAGTCCCCGCACCCGAAATCCGCCACCACCAGCGACGCCGGCCTAGGGGGGGAAAGGAGTCAAGGCGCCCCGGCCCGGCGTCCCCCCGGTGCGATCCCCGGTCCACCCCCACTCCAATCCCGGTCCATCCCCACTCCAATCCCGGTCCTCGCTCACCGGCGGCGCAGGTAGCGCACGATGCGCTGCACGGGCCGCTCGGGCCAGCGCCGCACTTGGCGCTCAAAGCCGCGGTGGTACAGGTGGAAGGCGGTGGGGTCCGCGCGGAAGAGCCGCGCTGCGTCCCGGCTGCTGCCGGTGTAGAGCTGCTGGTTCAGGTACCGGAACCGGGCGCCGAGCAGCCGCTCCTCCATCCGCGCTCGGAGCGCGGCCGAGCGGCCGGAGCGGGGCTCTGGGGACGCCTCCTGGGGGCCCGGCGGCTCCGGGGGCCCCGGCCCCGAGCCCCGCTCCACGCTCGGCCCCGCCGCCGACTCCTGCTGCCGCCGCCGCTGCTTCTTCTGCCGGTTCCGCCGCTGCCTCCGGCTCAGCTCCGCCGGCGGCTCAGCCGGGCCGTCTGCGGGCACCGACAGGGGGGTGAGGGTGCGGCGGAGGCTCCCGCCTGCCCGCCGGGCCCCGGAGCCGCCCCGGTACCTGTGTCCGGGCGCTGCCCGTTCTCCCGGGGCTCATCGGGGCCGGCCGGGCGTTCGCCCGCCGCAGCCCGAGGCACGCCGGCCTTCCTCCGCCCCCGGGGCCGCTTCCGCGCTGCCTCGCCGTCCAAGCCGGTTCCCGGCAGCCGCTTCCCCGCTGCGGGGCCCTGCGGAGGGCGGGGGCCGGTCACTTCCCCGAGCCCGGGACCGGCGCGGCCCGCCGCCTCCGCGCCACCCGCTTACCGGCCAGCCCGGGCCCTCGGGGGCACCACGGGGCACCGGCTCCGCCGCGCCGTCCCAGTCCTCCTCTGCAAACATGGCGTGGGGACCCCCGACCCGGCCCCGCGCGGGCCCCCCAGCCGGTACCGGACACACGTGCGCCCGCCGAGCGGCAACGTGCCCACAGCGCCCCCTCGCGGCCCGGAGGACCGGCGGCCCCGGTGCGGGGGCGGGGCCGCGGACGCCCCGCCCCGGTGACCGCGCCTCGCCCGTGGCCCCGCCCCGGTGCCGTGTGGCGGAGCCGTGTCCGGTGAGGGTTCCGGCCGCCAGGGGGCGCCGTGCCGGGCGGAGCCGCCGCAGCCGCCGCCCTGCGGAGCCCGGGACGCGCACCGGTAACGGCGGCACGCACCGCCACCGCACCCCACCGGCGGGGCAGGCGGCGGGACGGGCGAGGGGGCTGCAGGGAAGGGGTGGGGACACAGGGGAGGGACTGGGAGGACCGCAGGGAGGGCAGAGTGGGACCCTGGCGGCTGGTTTGGGGTCACCCGGGGGGGCACAAGGTCCCCACATCTCTTCCCCGCGGGGCGGTGGGTCCGGTCCCGGGGTTCGTCAGGGCGGAGGCGGGCACCTGGCGATCCCGGCTGGGCTGGGGCGGGGGCTCCTGGCGGCTCTACGGGACCAGGCGAGGGCTGGTGGGTGACGGGGGGGGTACAGCAGGGGACACGGCGGGGTGTCCCCACGGCGGTGACAGCAGGATGGGGAACCACAGGGCCCGGACCAGTGTAGGGCATCCTGGGGTGCCCCCAAGTGGGTGGGGGATAAATCTCGTCTGGGGCTGCGGGTGCTCCAGAGCCGGGACAGGGCTGGTGCTGCCAGGATGTGCCAGGGCCATTCTGGGGCCTGAGAGACCCCGGCGAGGGTCCGGGGCTTTGCGTCCCACATCCCTGGAGCCGCCTGGGGCAGGGGGTGCAGGCAGGGCCCTGGAGGGCAGCTGCCAGGTGCTGGCAGCGGGCAGGGGTCCTGTCGTGGCTGGGTAGGCACTGGGCCCTGGGGGGCCCTGAGGCAGCAGGTTTGAGCCCCCACAGGTGAACGCTGGGCACATCGTTCACAGTCTGTCCCTGTCCCCACATTGTGAGACTCACCCCATGTCCCGGCTGGATGCCACAGACCCCGGGCAGGGCGTCCCACGCTCACAGCTGGGGCCTCAGCGGGACAGCAGGAGGGAGCTTTGTGCCTGGCTACAAGCTGCAGTGTCCATGGATCCAAGGGAAACGCATGGTGCTTTGGGGTCCTGGTTCCTGAGCACGGTGCTGTGCCAGACCCAGCCAAGGGGGTCAGGAGGGTAATGAACTGCAGGATCCTGTGCTGGGGATGCTGAGCTCCCCCAGCCCTGCTCCCCCTCAGTCTGTGGGATCCCATGCTGGGGATGTTGAGCTCCCCTAGCCCTGCTCCCCCCAGAGCTGGGGGTAAAGGGCCGGCTGTTCCCGGTGATAAGCTCGGGGGTGCCAGTCTGGCTTCCTGCAGGCAGCCACTGCCCCGCTGGAGTCACCCAGGAACTTCCCCTCGGCCGCTGCTCCGGCTCCATCCCGGCCCTTGGCCTCCCACAGGGCTGTGGGAAGGGCTGGGAGGGGACAAGGAGGGGGCTGGGAGGCTCCTGCCCTTGCTGCCTCAGGGGTGAGCGGGATCGGGGTCCCCATGTCCTTCCCCCCCTTCCCTCCCACAGCCGCCATGGACGACATCTTCACGCAGTGCCGGGAGGGCAACGCGGTGGCTGTGCGGCTGTGGCTGGACAACACCGAGAACGACCTCAACCAGGGGTGAGCGGGGCCAGGCTGGGCGGGGGGGCTGTGCCGGGGGGTTTGCACTGGGCTCCATGCCCCGGGCAGGGCAGGCGGTGGGACGCAGCTCCTCCCCGCCGGAGGAAGTTACCGCATCGCTGAGGCACGAGGCCGAACATCCTCCGGCCGCTTCCTTGCGGCCACGGCCACGGCGGGGGCTCGGCTGGGCTGGGGAAGCTTCCCTGTCCCCGCGGTGGCCACTGTCTGGTGACCATGTCCCCGTTCTCTCTCTGGGGAGACCATGGCAGCTGTGTGGGCACACGGCTGGGTCTCACAGGAGGGCCGGGACCACTGGGGCCAGGGGCTGCGTGGGGTGCTCTGTGTGCCTGGGTCTCCGCTCCACACAGCCCATTCCAGGGGTCCCACTGGACTGTGGAGCCCACAGCCGTTCAGAAGCCGTGTTCGGGCCGGGCACAGGGCTTGGAGCAGCCGCCCATGGCACGTGCAGCTGGCACAGCCCAACCTCGCACTCTGACCCTGGCCAGGCCATGGCTGCAGCATTCTGGACGCACTCTGGACAAGGGGCCTCCCTTGGCTGTGCCTCCCCGTCCCTCCTGGGGTTCCAGGCACACGGAGCTCTCCCAGTCCCACAGATGGTGCCCAAGGGACAGGGTCATTCTGTGCCAGGTACCCCCTGGCTGTGGGGCCATGGTGTGGGTGGATGGGGTCTGCTGTGCCAGGGGGCTGGAGGAAGCCTGGGCTGGAGGGGAGCTGGGGCTGTGGCAGCCCCCCTGCCAGTCCCTGATCTCCATTTAAGGCCCGGCTGCCGCCTCCTCCCTTACTTGGCCATGGAGCAGGGGGACAGGGAGGGGATCCAGCTGTGATTCAGCCCTGGAGGAGAGTGGATTTGGCTGGTGCTGCCGGGGCCCTGGTGGGGATGGGAGGGAGTGGGATGGGAGGGAGTGGGATGGATGCTCAGCCCAGCCCTGTGGACAGTGTTTGGTGGGCGATACCCACCGTGCCCAGGCTGGGGGGCCACAGCTGAGCAGGGCCCCCCACCGCCCCACAGGGATGACCACGGGTTCAGCCCCCTGCACTGGGCCTGCCGTGAGGGCCGCTCCAACGTGGTGGACATGCTTATCATGCGGGGGGCTCGCATCAACGTCATGAACCGGGGGGACGACACCCCGCTGCACCTGGCCGCCAGCCACGGCCACCGCGACATCGTGCAGAAGGTACCTGTGCCTCGTGCCAGCACCTGCCTTTCCCCACCCCCCGTGAAGCCCACTGCCCCACCCACACAGTGCTCACTCCCCACGTCAGCTGGCAATGCTTTGAGCGGCCCCCCTCCAGCCCCCTCTGAATCCCTACGAGCCCCACACCAGCTCTGCCCCCTCCCTACAGCTCCCAGTGTGCTGCTCCTGCCTCCCCCAGGACAAGGCTCAGGGAGGACAGGGCAGTGCTGGGCTCATGGGGACAGTATTTGGCTCACAGGGACTGTCCCTTGTCCTCAGCTGATGCAGTTCAAGGCGGACATCAATGCAGTGAACGAGCATGGGAACACACCACTGCACTACGCCTGTTTCTGGGGACACGAGCAGGTGGCCGAGGTGAGCGGGAGCACCTGGATGGGTGGGAGGGAGAGGAGGGAAGGGGGGAGATCACAAACCACAGACTTTGCTCTCTGCTCGCTCAGGACCTGGTGGGCAGCGGGGCCCTGGTCAGCATTGCTAACAAATATGGCGAGACCCCCACAGACAAGGCCAAGACACCGCTGCGGGAGGTCCTGAAAGGTATGAGGGCCCTGTAGGGCCCCACACCTGCCCGGCTACAGCAGGCTCCGGGTGCCACCAGGTGCCACCCTCCTCCTTCTCCCTCCACAGAGCGCGCCGAGAAGCTTGGCCAGAGCCTCACCAAGATCCCCTACAAGGACACGTTCTGGAAGGGCACAACCCGCACCCGGCCCAGTAAGGACTGGGGGTCCTTTGGCAGGGGGTCACGGCTCCCCCATGCGCTGCCAATGCTGGACCCTGGGTCTGGCAGCTGTGAGCATCCATCCCCCTTCTCCTGCAGGGAATGGGACCCTAAACAAACTTGCCGGGATCGACTTCAAACAGCTGAACCTGAGTCAGAAGCTCAACGAGAACCAGTCGGGAGAGGTGGGTCCTTCCTACCCCCAGCCAAGCCTGTACAGATGCCCCCTGTCCTGGCCCTGCCAGGCATGGCTGGTCCAGGGTCCCACAGCGGGGTGCAGGGCAGGGCTCCTGCCTGGCTCATTGTGGACCCTCAGTCCTGCGGGCTCCAGAGGCAGGGGCCTGGGGGTGCTGGGAACCTCTTGCCCCTCTCACAGTGCCCGTGCCCCTGCTCCCCCCCCAGCTGTGGAAGGGTCGCTGGCAGGGCAATGACATCATCATCAAAATGCTGAAAATCCGGGACTGGACGACGCGGAAGAGCCGGGACTTCAATGAGGAGTACCCGAAGCTGCGGTGAGTGCCCCATCTGCCTGGGGCTACCACCAGCAGCACTTGCTTGGGGCCACCCACCCCAGCGTCTGACCAGGGCCATAACAGCTGTCAGGGTGTGGGACAGGTGGGACCTGCCCTGCTCGGCAGGGCCAGGAATGCTCCAGAGCGGTGCCCAAAGGCTGGGAGGCCCTGGGGGATGGCAGGGAACAGCAAAGGGGATGCAGGCAGCTCACCCCCTCCTTCCCATTCTCAGAGCTGTCACTTCTCTTGCAGGATCTTCTCCCATCCCAACGTGCTGCCGGTGCTGGGTGCCTGCCAGGCCCCCCCGGCCCCCCATCCCATCATCATCAGCCACTGGATGCCCTATGGCTCCCTGTACAACGTCCTGCATGAAGGGACCAGTGAGTGCTGGGGGACAGCACATTTGGGGGTAGCAGAGCCCTGTCCAGCTGCAGCCCTAGGGCAGGCTCACTCCCTGTCACCCCCTCCCCAGATTTCGTGGTGGACCAGATGCAGGCAGTGAAGTTCGCCTTCGACATTGCGCGGGGCATGGCCTTCCTGCACACACTGGAACCCCTCATCCCACGGCACCACCTCAACAGCCGCAGTGTCATGGTGAGCGGGGGGCCCAGACCCCCTCCCAGATCAGGGGGGCTCCCATGGGGCTCCTGCCGACTGCCCGCTCTCCCCAGATCGACGAGGACATGACGGCGCGGATCAGCATGGCCGATGTCAAGTTCTCTTTCCAGTGCCCAGGGCGGATGTACGCCCCAGCTTGGGTGGCCCCTGAAGGTGAGTGCCCCGTTCCCAGCCCCACAGCCTGTCCCTGCTTAGCCCCAGCCCCACTCACCCCCTGCCACCCCCCAGCTCTGCAGAAGAAGCCGGAGGAGATCAACCGGCGCTCGGCCGACATGTGGAGCTTCGCGGTGCTGCTGTGGGAGCTGGTGACACGGGAGGTGCCCTTTGCTGACCTGTCCAACATGGAGATTGGCATGAAGGTGAGGGGCTAGAGGGGAAGGGTGTGATTTAAGTTGAGTAGGGTGAAGATATTCTTCCCTGTGAAGGTGGTTATGTCCTGGCACAGGTTGCCCAGAGAAGCTGTAGCTGCCTCATTCCTGGAAGTATCCAACGCCTGGTTTGAAGGGGCTTGGATCCACCTGAGCAGGTGGAAGGTGTCCCTGTCTGTGAGGGCAGGGCTCAGATCCCGACTTCATCCCCTTTCCCTGCTCACAGGTGGCACTCGAGGGGCTCCGTCCCACCATTCCCCCTGGCATCTCCCCCCACATCTGCAAGCTGATGAAGATCTGCATGAATGAGGACCCAGCCAAGCGCCCCAAGTTTGACATGATAGTGCCCATCCTGGAAAAGATGCAGGAGAAGTAGAGGGGAGGTGCCTCCCCCTGCCATGCTGCCTTGCACCTCCCCACCACCCCCAAGTGCCTTTAACCCCAGAGCCGGGGGGAGCAGGGGACAACCCTCACCCTGAGCCAGCCACGAACACACGGTACAGATGGCACTGCCTCCGCTGCGGGACCCAGCCCCCAGGGCTGGGGGGGCAGGCTGGGGGGTTGCCCGTGGCGCCCAGCACTGCTCCTGCTTTGCGCTTCACCGGACGCTTTCCTACAGCGTTGGCATGGCCATTGGCCCCCAAATAAACGTTTGGTATGGAACCTTCGGCTGCTGGGGTGCAGGGAGGGGCTGCCCTTGAGTCTGCAAAGCCCTGGGCACAAATCGGCACTCACAGCCAAACCCTGCTGCCCAGTGCAGGTGGGTGGGCTCAGGACCCCCTCAGGAGGTGCCCAGTGCAGGTGGGTGGGTTCAGGACCCCCTCAGGAGGTGCCTGGTGCAGAGGTAGGTGGGTTCGGGACCCCTTCAGCAGGTGCCCAGCACAAGGCCTGGCATGGAGTGGGGGATGGTGTGGGTTTAGGGCCCCCTCCCCAGCTCCATCTGCAGTGCTGCCAGTGCAGCCCCCAGGCATTCCCCATCGGGAACAGTTTGGGAAGAAGAAGAGTGCTGGGCAGTCCTGCCTCCCCCTGCCCCACTCTGCTCCAGCCCCTGCAGGAGGGCTGAGCCCCCTGGGACTGGCAGAAGGGGGTGAGCCTGACAGCCCCCCTGGGGGAGGCCAGGGCCAGCATTTGTGGGTGCAGGCACAGAAGCCAGGCTGCCTTCCCACAAAACCCTCTTGGGTGTTTAATGGCACCAACACAGCCTCTACAAACTGCCTGAGCCCCCCAGGCCCTACGTGAAGTAATGTGGCTTCTTCACGTTGATGCCGTACTCGGCCAGCGCTGGTGTCAGGTCCTCCATGGTCAGAGTGTATTTCTTGTCCTGGGGGACACAAGGTACATCATCATGACAGGGACAGCTGGCACAGGGTGGGACCCCCTACGGCACAGGGACAGGGGTGTCCCCCTTCCGGAGGAGCTGCCAGAGCTCTGGGACCCCCTCCAGTGCAGGGACAGTGGTCCTGCTCCCAGAAGAGCTGCTGGGCAATGCTAGGATATTCCCAGCTCCCCACATTCCATCACTCCGTGTCCTCAGCTGTCCGCAGACCCCGAGCAGTAAGTGCCATTGCCCTTGCAGGACCCCGAGCTCCCAATGTGGCATTGCAAGGGTTCCCACTAACGCTGTTTTGGCCCCTCCCCAGGCTTGGAGCTGCCAGGGGAGCAGCTGCTCCCACAGTCGAGGGGGGGGACCAAAGTGTGTCCCCACCAGCCCCTCCCCACCCACGGGGACCCCCCAAGAGCCCAGCGGAGTTGGGGTTCCTGTTCCCCACATCCCAGGCTCAGCCCCAGCCCGAAGAGGGGGTTCCCCGGTGCCCCCACCTTGCTCTTGCTGCGGGAGCTGCCCGAGGCTGTGCCCTTCATCTTGCAGTGTTGCAGGGCGTCGTTGGCGATGTCAGAGATGAACTTCTGCGCTGCCAGTGAGATCAGGCGGATGCTGTGGGGCAGGGGCCGCGTCGGCAAGGGGCCGGGGGGTTAACCCTAACCGCGGGCCCCACTGCCGCCCCCTGCCCCGCTGCCACTTACATGCGGGGGTCCGAGGCCTCGAACCCCGCCCGGTTCAGGTAATACCCCGTCACGGCGTCCGGTATCTGGGGAGGGAAGAGCTGGAACAGCTCCACGGCCCCGTGGGAGCTGCCCCGTGTCCGTCCCGTCCCGGGGACGCGCCCCGTGTCCCGTCCCGTCCCCCCGGAGCCGCCCCATGCGCCAGTACCGTGGGCGTGTAGTCCTCCAGCTGCATCAGGAAGTCCACGAGCGGCGTGGTGGACACCACGGGCTTCACGTCGCCGTTGGCCGCGGGCGGGACGTACACGCCGTTGGACATGGCCCCGTCCGGGGGAGCGGCCACGGCCGCGGACACCGGCACTGCGAGACAGCGCGGTCAGCCCCAGCAACGCCGCCCCCCCGCGGCTCCGGGCCCCGCGGACATCAGCCCCGGGCGACCTGCGGGCCCCGCCGGCCCCGCCGACTCACCGGACCCCCTCCCGCCGGCCGCGCCGCCCTCGGCGCCCCGCGCCGCCCCCCCGCCCCCGCCGGGCGCCGCCCCGGGCGCGGCGCTGCCCGCAGCGGCCGGGCTGGGCTTGCTGCCCTCAGCGGGCGCGGGCGGGGCCGCCGCGGCGGGCGCGGGGTCCGCATCGGCGCTGCCGCTCATGGCCCCCGCTCCGCTCGGCGCCTGCGCGCGCCCGCCCGCGCCATTGGCCGCGCCGCCGCCCCGCCCCCTCCCCGGCCCGCCATATCGGCCCTGCGCCCCGCGCGCCCCCTGGCGGCGCCGCCGGCACACACAGAGGCGGGAAGGGCGGGGCCACGTGTTTATTGCCCGCCCCCGCTTTATTGCCCGTCCCCGGTCTGCAGCGCCGGTGTCCCGATCCCGCTGTCCCCGCGCCGGTGTCCCGATCCCGCTGTCCCAGCGCCGGTGTCCCGATCCCGCTGTCCCCGCGCCGGTTTCTCGATCCCGCTGTCCCAGCGCCGGTGTCCCGATCCCCCTGTCCTGCTGTCCCCAGTCCCGGTGTCCCACTCTCCCAGTCCCAGTGTCCTGATCCCACTGTCCTGTGTCCTGCTATCCCAGTCCCAGTGTCCCGCTGTCCCGGTGTCAGTGTCCCGATCCCGCTGTCCCTCTGTCCCAATGGCAGTGTCCTAATCCCGGTGTCCCACTGTCCCAGTCCCCCTGTCCCAATCCCAGTGTCCCACTGTCCCAGTCCCCGTGCCCCACTGTCCCAGTCCCCGTGTCCCAGTCCCAGTGTCCCACTGTCCCAGTCCCCATGTCCCACTATCCCAATCCCGGTGTCCCACTGTCCCAATCCCGGTGTCCCACTGTCCCAATCCCGGTGTCCCAGTCCCCGTGTCCCAGTCCCCGTGTCCCACTATCCCAATCCCGGTGTCCCACTGTCCCAGTCCCCGTGTCCCAGTCCCCCTGTCCCAATCCCGGTGTCCCACTGTCCCAGTCCCCATGTCCTAGTCCCCCTGTCCCAGTCCCAGTGTCCCACTGTCCCAGTCCCCCTGTCCCAGTCACAGTGTCCCGGTCAGTGCAGCAGCAGGGCCCGCAGCAGGCTCGGGAAGTTGGGGGTGCCCCAGCCGGTGACAGGGTCCCAGGCGGGGCTGGCACAGAAGCCCTGGCCCTGCACAGTGCCGTCCAGGCAGGACAAGTGGCAGCCCTGGGTGACCTGCAGGGATTGGCCTCAGTGCAGGTGCACAGGGACTCCCTGGGGCACAGGGACCCCTGGAAATCCAGCACAGAGACCCATCCAGCACTCCCTATGGCACAGGCCGCCCCTCCCCAGGGTCTCCTCAGGGGACAGCACACCCCAAACAGTCAGAGCCACACAAGGAGACCTGCCCCATGAAGCTCAAGGGAGGCCCGTGGGGACCCTCCCCGGACACCCTTCCTGAGGAAAGGCCATAGGGACTCTCCCCCATCCCAGCAGGTCACTGCTGGCCCTGCCCCAAGCAGGGCTCTGAGAGAAAGAGGCCCAGGACAGACCCCCAGCCCCCAGGACAGTCCCTTGGGGCATCCATGGCCCCCCAGCCCCCTGGATGGTGTGCCCAGCCCAGCCCCTTGGGACACCCATGACCCCCCCCAGCCTGTCCCCTGCCCTGCTCACATCATAGAAGGCAGTGCTGAGGCCCCGCTCCTGCAGCTGGTAGAGTGCGGGATTGAGGAAGCCAAGGGGTGGCAGCCCCCGCTGCAGTCGCCGGTCATTGATCAGTGCCACCATGCCCGCCACCACCGGTGTGGATGCCTGCGGAACACCACGCTCAGCCCACGGCCCCCGGGCTGCGGGGCGGCGGGGGACGGGCTCTTACCGAGGTCCCCGACACCCAGGGCAGCGGGATGCGGTTCGT